GAGATTAGAGCGAATTAAATAACTGCTGACGGGATTAATTTGTGGAGAGATATTGCTCAAAAATACTTGATTTGTTGTTTGAATGCTCGATGGGTATGTTGCTGGACTGAATCCAATCACATTTGAAAATCCGTTTTTTGCAACAGTGATTCGAGTAGTATTAGTAGCGGTTGGTAATCCTGTTCCAGTTAATGAATATAAACCGATCGATGGACGTGAATATCCGCTTGGAACAGAAGTTGGTGTTGCTAAGCAAGTAATTTCGCATGAATAGTACGTTGCATTTTCTCTCATCGCGATATATACAACGTTATTACCTTGAGAATCAACCAAGTATGCACCAATATTAACTAATTGAGATGTATTGTAATTTGAAATATCTTCATACGAATAGTACCCATTCGGAAGCGTGATTGAAACAGATTGATAAGTCGCCGCTGTTGGAACTAAAACGCTAAACGTATTGTTGCTGTATAAACTTCCATTAATGTTGAATTGCGAGTTGTAAATCTGCAGGCTGGACAGAGCAATTTCTTGATTTTTGAAATTCACGCTTGATCCAGTAAAGTTGAATCTAAATGTATTATTCAAGCCATTGGAAACAATGTTATTACGATTGAAAATGATAGTGCTCGTCATCGTACTAATAGCCTGACGGCGAGAGAGCTTGCTCTTACGCCAAAGGCTTCAGAGCTTCGCTCTAATATTCGATCTGTAGCAATCAAAGATTGCCGACTAAACTTTGTTTACGGTTATATTCTATTAGAGAAATTAATTGAAAACTTCACCTTTAAAATTCTTCCGAATTTGTTGCTTGACAGAGTCAATGAACAGCATTTGGCCTTTCTGAGCTGTTGCTTGTCTGTAATATCTGTAAATATCTTCTTCGGTTACTCCAGGTAGATTAAAATCTTTTAAAATTAGCTGGAGATCGCGTTTTGAATTTGCTTTTAGAATAGCTATGTACTCAGAATTTAATCGGATCATTTTATCAGTAGCAAAATAGCTATGAGCTATGAAAATTGTTGAAAGTCCTTTGTGTCTTCCTCGAGTAAAGAAATGACTAAATAAATCTTTCTGTAGCTTCTTATCGTTGGAATAGTCATCAATAATAGCAAGCTGTAAAGCATTTGGAATTTCTTTAATAGCATCAACACTTGGAGGAGCATCGGGATCATAAAAAGTCACAACACCTTGTAATTTCTCTTTGATGTAATCGTATAACTCTTGATCAGGGTTGCGGGCTATAATGTGCAAATGGCTATAGACGTGTGGAGACTCTTTAAGTATATGGAAAGCTAGATTTGATTTACCAGAGAAGCTTGGGCCTAAAACTATCATTCGGAAAAGCTTCTGGATACCAAGCTTTTCATTTACTCCAAACGATTTCTTCTTAAACTCCTTTGGGAGCATCCCACCAAAATCAGGAATTGAACTCATATCGCGCCGGAGGTGCTGCTTAGTAATCTTCGATTACTGATCTTGTATGACAAATCTATCTGTTATATTATATAAAGGATCGTTTTACAAAAAAGATATCATAGATATCCGGCGATCTACGATCGCTCATGTTACCGCCTAATTATGTTCCATCCTTATACAATCCATCAGACTATATCGGCTTATTCAATTACTTGACTATTAGTATTGGCGATTTGCGATATAACAAAAGAAATGGGGTGAATTATACTTCGGCTTTGTACATTACAGGAAATATCTATCAAAATGGAACAATTATTGATTTGAGTGTGCTGTCGGGTATTACACCAGGAGCAGCTTCCGCTGGGAAATTGATTGCTGTTGATTCAAATAAGGACATCACTAACATTAATGGTCTCTCAGCCTCGCAATTAACTGGAACCCTTCAAACTGCAGCTCAACCAAATATCACCTCGCTTGGAACACTATCATCAACACTGAATATTGGTGGATCTACTCCTATAACTTGTAATAACTCCCTATCGAGCAGCACATGCTCGTTATCTGTTGATTCTGTATCTGGAGATCAGACATTTGGCAGTACAACAGCAAATAAGTTTCATTTGAGAACAAATGGAAATAGAAAAATAACGATAGGATCCACAGGTTTAGTAGGCATTAATAATACTGCTCCTGCTAAGCAATTAGATATCATTGGATCAACCGCTTTGACAAATGCGCTATATCAAATTAGTGATGGAACAGTTGTATATCAGCAGTGGTTCGATGAGACTCAATGTTGTCTTCAAACATTTAGCAATCATCCGCTAACTTTTGCCACGAATAATGCTTCAGTGCAAATGTCAATTTTAACGAATGGAAATGTAGCTGTTAATAACACATCGACAGCTACGAATATATCCGCTTCAACGTTATATGGAACACTTCAAACAGCCGCTCAGCCCAATATTACATCGATTGGAACTTTAGCGACTGTTACAGCTACAGCAATTTTTGGAACGCTTCAAACCGCTGCTCAGCCTAATCTCACATCTCTTGGAACGTTAACTAGCTTAACAAGAAGTGGGACTATCACTTCAAGTAGAACTACAAATGGGCAATCATTCACTTCCACAAACGGAACATCAACTTGTGTTTTGTTCCATTTTAACAATGGAGATGCATACTTTGGAACAACTACAGCAAACAATTTAGTCTTTCAAACAAGTAATACAGGAAGAATGACAATTAGTTCATCTGGTGCAGTATCTGGAATTTCATCGCTAAGTGCTACAACGTTAACTGGAACATTAAGCACTACATCACAGCCTAATATCACAACGACTGGAGATTTAACACTACCGAGTTCGCTGACGATAACAAATGGAACTACTCCTTTATCAATTAATAATACAACCTCATCGAGTACCTTTCGATTAACGATACAGAATAGTGGTGGTGCTCAAGATATTGGTTCCTTTACAAGTCATAGTTTCTTCTTAAATACAAATAATACTCGAAGATTGCAGTGCGATACTTCTGGTAATATTGATATTTTAAACCACAACGCTTCTACGGTGGAATTAAAACTTGGTGGAACATTAATTACATCGTCAGCTACTGAATTAAACTTCTTATCTGGAGCGACTCCTGGGACAGCAGCTGCAAGTAAAGCTTTAGTGATGGATTCAAACAGAAGCATCACGAATATTGCAAAAATAAATTAAACGAGCTCTGATGCTACAACTATGACTGGGACTACTAATGCTTCTGCATTTGGACTAAATATTTTAAGTACTGTCAATGCTAATGGGCAGTACAATTCGTCCGCAATCGCGTTCAGAAATGCACTTAGCGATGGTATGCCTCATGGAGTAATTTTATGTCAACGAACAGCAGCTGCTGCTGGTGATATCGTGTTTTTGACTCAATCAGCTACCAATAATGTATCTGAATGTTTGCGCGTTCTTCCTACGGGGGCTCTCGCAGTCAATGCTACAGCCAACGCTGGAATTACTTGCTTTGGTTCCGCAAACTATGTTGATGGTTCCTACCAGAAGGTATTAGATTTACAATCAAACAATGTGTCTCCAATAGATTTCTGTATTGAAATTAAGTCTGGAACAAACGCAACAAGTACAAATGCTACTTGGATGGGCAATTTGACTAATAATGACTTGCGATTCGGAGTCAATCGTGTGAAGCAACTTGAGATGGAGCTGAAGCATAAATGAGTGAAGCTCAATAGATTCCGGTCTGACGACCGCTCGAACTTGTTCGACGGTCAAAGACCTTTCGAAATTCGTTCGGATGTCAACAAAAAAAACTTTTTTGCGGGCTGACGGACACCAATTTACTCATATTCAACCACTTCACCGGTTAAACGATCAATAGACATAGAACGACCGTATGCTACGAGAATTAGACAATTCATTCCTTGGCTGCAAGTATTGGTGCCGGATACAAGGATAGATTGAGGCACATCTGGATTGGTTAAACGAGAGCAGTCAGCGATCAGCATTCGCTGGCCAACATCCCATTTGAACGAGTCAGATAACCCATTGCTGATCTCATGAGATAGAGCTCCGTTAATAGCTCCAAGCTTCTTGACTTCGTCTTGGAACGATTCGAATGAGTAGTCATGCGTTTTGTTAAAAATGTTTTCATTGCCAACCATTACCTGGAAATTCCGGACACTTGCTCCTGGCTGACAAGTCCATGGAGCAGAATCGAATGGAGATTGGAATTGTTCAGTATTCGCTGCACTTACGAAATGACCACTGCTGGTTTCGCTAAATGGAATTAAAGCAACGTATTTGATATTCTTTAAGCTCGCAGATAGTTGAAAGCTAAAAGCAGCGTTTTGCTGACTGTTTTTTTGCTGTCCAGTGCCTGCTCGCGCCTTAAAATATTGTGCGTAGCAGTCAAGGTAGTTGATTTTCTCAACAGGTTTAGCAACGATTTGACTTTGATTAGCAATATCATAGAAAGGAATGTATAATCGAGTCGTTGTAAATGGGAAAATTTTGTCACGTAGCGCAGGCGTGGAAACGTTGGCGGAGGAAGGCGAAGTCGTTGGCGCAAGGTGAGCGCTCGTGGAGGCT